TTTGCATATCTTTTTAATACATATTTAATTGCGGCTCGCGAAAAATTTCAAATTTTGAAAAATGGCTCGGACTATCAAGGAGCTTGGCCACCCTGGGACTAGGGTTAGATTCCAAAAGTTAACAAAAGTATATTATTGTTTTTCGTTACTAAGAGAAACATGTTTATTAAAGCAATCAATAATTAACTAACAATCACAATTAAAAGTAATGTTTTATGCATTGAATACTAATTTTAATTAAACAAAAGCATTTTCTTTTTACAAAGTATTGTCATCTAAACTTTTTTGTTGATCTTGGTTCAGAAATATCAGCAATGTCTTCATTTTTTTAAATATTTCTACCATAAAAATTTTTTATGTATGACAAAATAAAAATATGTTATTAATCAAAAATTTGTTCTAGCAAGTTGTGTTTGTTCAGTTAAGTACCAAGCGATTTTTTCCAGAATTTGTGTTCAAATACCAAATTGTTTGAGTTGGGAACAGTTCAAGTACCAAGATACTGCCATATTTCATTCATCATTTTTACAAATGGTAGCTTACCTATGGTTAAAAAAAGTTTAATTACACTTACCTAAAAACATTTAAATAAACTTTACTAAATACAAAGATTAATCTATAAAAACAAAACACAGTGAGTCTTAAATTAAAGGCTAAAATCTGAAAATGGCAACAACACCCAGTTGATAAGAAAGCTAGGACAAGTAAGAAAAAAATTGCACTAACAGTTTTCATTAAAGTAAACCTGACAAAAAGGCAAAAAACAAATTAAAAATTTCAATATTCTAAAATCTGTAGGCAAATTTCAGACAACAGGCATGCTTACTTGAAGAAAAAAATATAGAATAACAGAGCTTGTACATAAAAATTGTGAAATTTTGTATGGAGAATTTTCCAATTCTCAAACTGTGTTAGAGAGTGTTGTATGAGGAACATCTGTATAGTGGTAAATGAAAAACAATTTAATGTGACAAATAATAAAGATAAACTCAATGAATATCTTATAAATATAATAAAAATTACAAAAGGACTGGAATATACTTAGCCTACAAGATTCATAATAATATCAGTAGCATACATAATCAAGCATTAAACTAAGTGGGATAGATATGGTGAAATGGTGAACTATAGTGGAATCCCAATTAACAAAACCCATTTTACTGAGGTTCTGCATTATCAGGATGAACTATTCAAGACTACTGTACGAACAAAGATAAGGAAACACAGAACAGTACAGCTTGTTTCATAAATCTTGGCTAGGCAATGAAGGATTGCCTAGCCACTTGAAAAGATTCTAGAAGTTTAAAAAAAAAATTTTATTCTAATGACTTCTCATGAAATACATATTTTAAAAATGATAAAGCAAGTTTTAATTATAATCATACTTGTATAATGAAAAAAAAATTGATCAAACAAACTGTCATTATGCAGGTATGACAATTTACTTTGTGAAGTAATTTTGTCCAGGGTGAAATCTTTTTAAAATATTTTTTTTTAAATGGATGGAAATGAGTCTTCTCTTAAGAATATTATATTCAGTGAGATATTTGAAAAGTAATGTGTAAAAATTATAAACTGATTTAAAATAAATAATTTTAATTTTAAATAAATTTATTTCTCAAATTACAAAATATTTATTCCTTAAATATTTTGTAAAGTTTAAAAAGAAAGAGATGAATAGCATTTAGAGATTTTAATAAAATATTTAGAGATTTTATTCAGCATGAATGTGATTCAAAATTCTAATGATTATAACATATTCTAATTAGCAAGTCATATTCTGATCAAAACTGAATTTTTAATGGATTCCAGTGAGTTGTCATAAAACTTTGATTTATAACAACTTGCTTGTATTTTGTTAATAACTTTCCCCAAATATTAATATTTCATGTTATTCAAGATGTTATGGCATATAAAATGAAACTTTTGTCAAAAAAGAAAAAAATCCTGTATCTTATAGGTGAAGTTGCAATCTCCTAGAGATTAATAAATTTCCCAAACAGCCTTCGGCAAGCTACATCTAACCTCCACTGGCTCAATTCTTTTTTTTTTTTAATAAAAATGTTATTGTTTAATTATTATTTTTTAGCTATATCCAAGCAGCTTATTCATGTATTTTATGTAGTAGAATTTAATAGTAAGTTTTAATTGTAGATAACTTCTTTTAAACTCTTCATTTTTCCTGAAAAATAAAAGTGTTCATTCCAATTTTTTTCTTTTTTTACCCAGAATACAGCAAAAATTTGAGGCTTAGTTCCAAAGGTAATAGATGTCCTAAATACAGAATAATTTTTTTTCTACATATTCTGTGTTGAAATATGGATGTATCTTATATGCCATAAAATATAGTATCCGAAGTATCCTCAAGTTCATCATACTTTGGATAATTAGAACGCTACTATTTTATATTTTTGCATTAATTCAAGTTTTAATTTACATATGATACATTCTATACTGATAAAAATTTTATTTTATTCTATATGTAACTTTTAAAGATTCCAAAAACATTTTATAGTGACAATATGCTTCATTAAAGCACCTTTATGAACAGTTGTAACAGATCAACAGTGGGGATAAATTTATCAATATATCATGCATTTCATATAAAATGAGTTTCTTATATGTATTATTAGTTCTTACTTAAAGAAATCAATATGTTGTTTTGTTATTTTTGCAAGAAATTAAATATTTTTAGCTTCAAATATTTCTTATTACCATAGTTTTTTGTTTTTTAATCTATTCATATTTAAATTCTAATTAAAAAACAAAAACTATTGACTATTCAATAGCTTCTTTTCAGAAACTTTACAGAAAAATCTTGTAAAATTGACAACATAATTTGTTCATGTAAAGCTGGACAACCAGGAACCATTTTGCCAATTCTTAACAGTTAAATCCACTCTCCATCAATTACACTTATGAGTTTCTCTGAATTCTGATTTCCAAATAATCATCTGTGGGAATGGATTAAAACTTATATCGGGCTCCTGTGTGATTTTGGAATTCTAATTTGGAATTCAATTCAAAAGCTTTGATTTTCCTATTGCTATTCATCTTTATTCCTGACAATACACAAGAATGATTCAAATGACCCAGATAAAATATACTTTTGGTTTTACTCACCAGAGGGTCAGCATCCAATAAAAAATGCGAATACAGGGTTCACAAAAATTATTGCGAAAATGCAAAAAATACTTCACTTGCACATATAGAATAATTATAAGATTTTGATAAGATATTATCTATATATATAATTGAAAGTTTTCAAAAATGAAGAAGAAACTCTGAAACTTTCAGCATATACAACTTGTACTGACAAGAACACAATAATGAACCGTTCTAATTCTATCTTAAAGACGAGCAGAGAAGAAGCCTTTGTTCATGTCAACAGTGAATAATTCAATTGCAGGTTACAGATATACATGGATAAATATTAAAATAATATATATAATATAAGATATTTTAATAACATGCTTTTAACCATATTTTTCATCAATGTTCTATTAAATTATCATACATATAAATATGAAAGATTTTAAAATAGCTATATGTATGGCACTTAACATCAAAATAGATCATAAATAAAACAAACCCTTTATATAAATGTTAATTAATTGTATCAAAATTCACAAGATTTGTACATTTCACAAATACTTTTGACAGATTACAACTGTCATCCTCAGATAAAATTCAATTATATTCTTACTTTTCAATTTCATCTGAGGATGATCGTTGGGATGCAATGAAAGTACTTATGAAGTATAAAAATCTTGATAATTTTAATACAATTAAAATTAATTATCATCAATAGACAAGACAGTATTTTGTTTTACTTATTTTATAGAAAATTTTTATCATATCTTTCCATATTCAAATGAATATATTATTTTTAAATATCTTAATTTTTTAATTTAATTATTAATATACAACCTGCCACTATATAGTAAGTAAAAAGCAGGAAATTCTAACAACAGTTTAATTTTTCAGTAACTGACCTTGATCTTTATTAACAGTTCTCACTAATGCAATTAAAAAAATAATAATAACTTGTATAAATGATTTTCAAAATTACAATATAAGAAGACAATAATAAAATCTTATAACAAATATTTTAATATGTAAATATATTCTATCTGTATGCTTTATTTCTTTGAAATTTTATATTCAGAGAAATTTGCATTTAAATTAAGTGTGAAATATTAAATAATTATTTTTAGAAACAAATCCAGTTTGAAATCATTTACAAAGAACAAATTCTGAACTACTTTCAATATTTCAGATTTTTCATCATATTTTCTTTTAACAATCTGCAGAGTGATTAACAATTAACGGTTAAACATTCCATAGCAATAAATTCTATATTTTACAAAATATATTATTTGTGAAAATAAAAATTAAAAAAAATCCAAGATGAAATATATTGGAAAAAATTACAAAATTAAGACTAAATAAAAAAATATTTTGAAGTCTCCTAAATGTCCATTCACAACTGTTGAAACATAATCAACACTAGTGAAGTCTATGTTTACAGGTCCTTCTCTGCTTACACTTATGAAAATTGTTTAATAATTCCTCAGTATCATTCCTGTAAAAATTCATTGTAAAAAAGCTCCATTAGTGTTCAGTGGAATAACTACCATTTGTACAACCTGTGCAATAGCACAGAGGCCATTGCAGCTAGGAGTCCTTGGGACCCATAGAGGCATGACTGCTTAGTAACCATATATTATTAGTACTCAGATGAGTAATGAATCTGGAAGTACCCAAAAATTATAAATGTTTGAATAATTAATAAGTAGGCACATCTTTTATTAACATGTTCATGACTATGACTAGGAACACTAAGTTTTCGCTCTATGAAGGACCTATCACATGCTATTGGTGTTTTCAGAGTAATCACATAGAAGTAGGTAGAGACAGATTTATTATGACAATGGAATGCATTTCAGACAGGTAGTCTGATCTTCTTCAGCCATATTGTTACNGCCATTTCTACTCACATTTTCTAGCTGTACTTAATGAATATTCTAAATTCTTCAATTTACTAACTTTATCCTTATCATGGCTGTATTTCTCCAATAACCACCACACTAGTCGACTTCCATATTGTAAAAATCTGAATAAATGTAATTTAAACATGCATTATTAATTTTTAAAAAATAATTTTTTAAATTACATTTTATTTTAAAAATACTACTTAAACAGATTTTTTAAAATTTTATATGCCTTGCTTCTAAGTCAAATCTTAAATTTTCTTTTTAAAAATGCTCTTAAACATTGAACAGACATTAACAATTCCAAATTTAAGGAACAGATATCTCAAAGTTTTGAAATTGTTTTGAGTTAATTTATTCAATAATAGGTTTGTAGTATGGGACATATGTTGTCACATAGAAAAACATTTTCTCTAGAGCAGTAGTATCCAAACTATGGCCTCAGACCAAATCCAGCCCACAGCATGTTAATCCGGATTGCAAATATATTTGACACATCACTGATAGAAATAATCCTGCTTTTTGTATATATGGAATATACAAATATTTGAGGTCCATCTACTTACAACTTACTTGTAGTTTGATCTGCCAATAAAAACATTTGGGCAGCATTGCTCTAGAATTAACCCAATAATTTAGGAAAACATTTTGTAGTATATCACAAAACAATGGCTTTCTAATTTGACTGTTTTAACAGAATTGATATATTGAAAAAAGTATAAGAAAATCTTAAATCCCTTTCTGTTTTACATCATCAAACGACATTTTGCCTTTATAACATCATACTGTATTATAACCCAATGCATACTACACTTTCAGTTGCACAATCTTTATTATAATGACTGAAATGGGCATGATAAAATTACTACTGTGTACATGCTGTGTGTGTAGCACACATCTCAGTGACCAAATGGAAAACACTCAATGCAACAAAGATGTTGGTTGATTATTGTCCAAAATATTTGAAATTGCAGATACCTTTTTGATGACCCTGTATTTACAAATTTTATTAGCTTCTCCAATAAAGCAAGATCTTGGTGATATTTAATTAAGTTTAGAAATTTCTTCACAAACTTACTGATTAGGAGTATTTCTTCAGAAATTTTTTGACTTAGAAGTGCTTATGATTTTATCTCAAAATTTAATATATTAATTATTAAAAAAATCGTACTCCTAGAACCTATTTTTGGTGCGAGGAAAAAAAAAAAAGGGGACTTCCTTCAGGTGAAAAGGTAAAAGGGAGTTTACTTTTTCACCTGAGGAAGAACTCCCAGAAGTTTGAAAAAGTTTGTGGTGAACTTTTTCTTTTGTTTTTTTTTCCTCACACCGGAAATAGGTTCTAGGAGTATGATTTTTGTAACACATTCCGGTGTTATTGTTGTTGATATTAATTATTCTTTTCAATTATGAAAATAATACAGACAATTATATGAAATGCAATATTTCAATTTAGTAAATACTTTCAACTCTTAATTACAGTCACTCCTCATTTAACAACCAAGTTTCATTCCTATGAAAAGGTCATTAAGTAAATTGGTTGTTAAACAAGGAGCTTAGCTATTTTATTTTACGTATACATAACAAGGCAAAGTATGGGAATCATATCAAATTTGGCCCTCAGAGTTTTATGAAATTGCAACATTTTGAGACTTCCCAAATTTAAAAAAAGTAAAAAAAAAAAAAAAATCCATGGATATGTATGTATGCGTTGTGTCTATTTTGCTTAATATCTCAGGATGGGGTAAAGATTAAAAATCAAAACTTGGCATGGTGGCTTGTATATGAGAGGCATTGATGCTGTTAAATTTTGGTGACGAAAGGTGAAGAGGGTGGGGAGATAGAGGGAGGGTCACATATCTCAAGAGGGATAGAACTTAATGAAGATTTTATTTGTTATTAACATTTACACTCTTTTATAAAACTCACCCCTATCTTCAAAATTAAGCTTTTTGTCATTTTATATTAATTAAAAACATAAAAATTGTGCTGATTGCAGCAAAATTATATTCCTTTTTGATTATAAGTTTTAAAATCAAACCTGAGAAAATTTGCTTTCTTTTAATATGAAGAAAATTGGTAACAAATCCGTAAAATATTTATTGTNTATTTTAATATGTAAATATATTCTATCTGTATGCTTTATTTCTTTGAAATTTTATATTCAGAGAAATTTGCATTTAAATTAAGTGTGAAATATTAAATAATTATTTTTAGAAACAAATCCAGTTTGAAATCATTTACAAAGAACAAATTCTGAACTACTTTCAATATTTCAGATTTTTCATCATATTTTCTTTTAACAATCTGCAGAGTGATTAACAATTAACGGTTAAACATTCCATAGCAATAAATTCTATATTTTACAAAATATATTATTTGTGAAAATAAAAATTAAAAAAAATCCAAGATGAAATATATTGGAAAAAATTACAAAATTAAGACTAAATAAAAAAATATTTTGAAGTCTCCTAAATGTCCATTCACAACTGTTGAAACATAATCAACACTAGTGAAGTCTATGTTTACAGGTCCTTCTCTGCTTACACTTATGAAAATTGTTTAATAATTCCTCAGTATCATTCCTGTAAAAATTCATTGTAAAAAAGCTCCATTAGTGTTCAGTGGAATAACTACCATTTGTACAACCTGTGCAATAGCACAGAGGCCATTGCAGCTAGGAGTCCTTGGGACCCATAGAGGCATGACTGCTTAGTAACCATATATTATTAGTACTCAGATGAGTAATGAATCTGGAAGTACCCAAAAATTATAAATGTTTGAATAATTAATAAGTAGGCACATCTTTTATTAACATGTTCATGACTATGACTAGGAACACTAAGTTTTCGCTCTATGAAGGACCTATCACATGCTATTGGTGTTTTCAGAGTAATCACATAGAAGTAGGTAGAGACAGATTTATTATGACAATGGAATGCATTTCAGACAGGTAGTCTGATCTTCTTCAGCCATATTGTTACAAATTGGTGGGTTTACAAACATTTAAAAAGTACATTCTAGTTTGTTGCTGATATGTGGATGGCTTCATTTTTGGGATTTTTCACAGGTGTGATATTGTGTTTTCCATACAAATAGCAACCAGGGATTAAAATTGTTGCTTAATGAAATTAAATGTGAAGCAAATAGTTTTAGCAGAGTAGCTCATATAAACAGTTATATTTACTTCACAATTAAATTCATTAAGCAACAATTTTAACACTGTTGTCATAATAAACCTGTGTCTACCTACTTCTATGTGATTACTCTGACAACATCAATAGTATGTGATAAGTCCTCCATAGAGCCAAAACTTAGTGCTCATAGTTTCATATTGTGTAACATAAGGACAAAAAGCAATTCACCAATGTTCATGACTATTGTATTGTGGACAGTCCAATAAACACCATAGGCCTATTTGTCATCATAAATGTTCTTAAAAATGTTTTAAGTTCATATAAATAAACTTTATGTCAATGTATCTCCCATGTATCTGCCACTGCTTGGACATAATGAGAATTTACCAAAATCAATTTTTTAAGCAAGAACAAGCACAAAGTTACAGAGGCAAAGATACTGAAGTCTCTTTTGGAGACATTTCATTTTGTCTTCTTACTTGTCTTGATATCATATATTCTAAAATATTTTGAAGATCCTTCAGTCACCTCAGCAGAAACTAATTAAAGCTACCATCTTACTGAAAAACTACAAAGAAAATCTCTCACAATCAAAAGAAAAATTTAAAGAATTTGATAAATAAGCCATAAAATTAGTAAAATTTGAACACCTACAAAATTCCAGGAGAAATATGTTGAATAAATATCATCACTAAACCTGATATATTATAAAGCTATATACCAACCAATGCCGAATATTATTGGGCTAGAAACGGTTTCTAGCCCAATAATATTTGGCATTGGTTGGTGTGTAGAAATATGTTGGAAATGATGTCAGTGTTTTGTCAAATTATGTGAAGACCAAAGCTTCTATCAAGTGCCAGTTTAAATAGGCATTTTCTATACTAATTTAGCTATAGTAATATCACAGTTTACAAATCAATTTGAGGGTCTGAATACAGTGGTAGAACATTTCATGCTATTCTTCCCTTGACCCTGTTGGTCTCAATTAATAATGAACTGCATGCAGCTTTAGAGAAATTTCTTGCCTGTTATGAAGTAATTTATCACTATCATTCCCAACGCAACTAACTTCAAGTCTTACTTAGAAAAAGATATTGCCAAAAGAGCTACAGCAAAAGAATTAGCAGGCCTACTTCTAACTGAAAACCATGCACTTGTATCCAACTTGCCTGATGATTGCTAGTATGGCTTTTCTACTATTTTTCCTAATAACTGCCCATCATTACGGCTTTTACTGAATGTTAATTTTCTAAACTAAATATTATAAAGAACTAGAACTATTTGAGAAGTTTAGTAGCCAAAACGAAACTAAGTGGTTTAACAGCATTACTTTCTATGGAAAATTCAGAAGCAAGAAAGACACTGTCTGGACTTGTAGTAAACATATCCACTCTCTTGGATAAGTAAGTCCAGAAAAATCATTTTAGGCTGCCAGTGTTCATCACAAAGCAGGCCCATAGCATTCTAAGGAAGTTTGCTACTTTTAAAATGAATAAACTATTTGCCATCTTATAATTTTAACTATATTAGCCTGTGTTGTGAAAAAGTTACAGAAAACTTAATGGGAGACTGTTTCAGAAATGTTTCACAGGGACACATTTATATGTAGTTGTGCTGCTACTAGTGTTGACTGTGTTCTAACAGTTGTAAATGGACATTTAGAATACTCCAAAATATTTTTTATCTTTACTCTTCAACTTTGTAATTTTTTCCAAATTTATTTTATTTTTAACAAACTCAGGGCATCTGCAAAATTTTGTCTTAGAGGAACCAAAACAAACACAGTTTAGATCAACCAGCCAATCGATTCATTAAAGTAATGTTTTTTAAATAGATTTGTTTTCACATACCATCTTCTGTTTCCATGAGAGTGAATAAAAAATAATCAAAAACTTCAACTACAGTATACTATAAAATGTGGCATCTTCAGACAGAAGAGCACATATGACTTAAGAACTAGACCGCTATCTTGTCACATACTGTAA